CGCCGCTGCCTTTTCGGAGGTCCGCGGCGCTCGTTGTGTTCTTGGTTTGGTCACCCTTCTCGATGCGAACGGATCACGAAGTCGAAGAGAGTCGCACGCTCAGCGTGGCCCGACGAGCTCGAACTTTGCATCAGTCGAGGAGTGTTGAGGAGGAAAGCGAGGAGGCGCTTCTCTCTCTCGGGAGGCAGCGCAGCTCCGACGGAGGTGAAACCTGGTTGATCCTGCCAGTAGCATATGCTTGTCTCAAAGATTAAGCCATGCACGTCTCAGTACATGCCGCTAATATAAAAGGCGAAACCGCAAATGGCTCATTAAATCAGTCACGGTTCATTGGATCGTAACGCGTTACTTGGATAACTGTAGTAATTCTAGAGCTAATACATGCAGCCGAGCTCCGAGCGCCCTCTCGGGGGCAGGACGAGCGCTTTTATTAGATTCTTCCCCACGGTCTCCGGACCGTCGAAGTGACCGAAGCTGAGTAACTTTGCAGATCGCACGGGCCCGCCCCGGCGACGCATCCTTCAAGTGTCTGCCTTATCAACTGTCGACGGTAGGTTATTCGCCTACCGTGGTCGCCACGGGTGACGGGGAATCAGGGTTCGATTCCGGAGAGGGAGCCTGAGAAACGGCTACCACATCTAAGGAAGGCAGCAGGCACGCAAATTACCCAATCCCGGCTCGGGGAGGTAGTGACGAAAAATAACGACGCTGGACTCTACGAGACCCAGTCGTCGGAATGAGTGCGCTCTAAACCCTCGACGCGAGGACCCACCGGAGGGCAAGACTAATGCCAGCCGCTGCGGTAATTTTAGCTCCGGTAGCGTATACTAAATTTGTTGCAGTTAAAAAGCTCGTAGTTGGATTCCTGCTCTGGACGTAGGGGGCCGCTAACGCGGTCCACCATGCGCACCCGGCATTCTGCCCGCCGCTCCCGAGATCGTTGTCAAAGGCGGCTCGGGGTGGATGGCGGAGATCGCTTTGCAAAAATTAGAGTGCTCTAGGCGGGCCACTAAGCTCGAATAGTAATGCACGGTACGATGAAACATGACTTTGGCTCTTATTCGGTTGGGGCACGGAGACCGAGGTAATGATTAATAGGAGCAGACGGGGGCATTCGTATTCCGACGCTAGAGGTGAAATTCTTGGACCGTCGGAAGACGCACCACTGCGAAAGCATTTGCCAAGAATGTTTCCGTTGACCAAGAACGAAAGTGTGGGGCTCAAAGAAGATTAGATACCTTTGTAGTCTTGTACCCTAAACGATACCCTCCAGCGATCCGGCTGCGTACGAACGTGACGCGCCGGGCAGCTCTTCCGGGGAAACCAGAGTTCCGGCTCCGGGGGAAGTATGGTTGCAAAGCTGAAACTTAAAGGAATTGACGGAGGGGCACTACCAGGAGTGGAGCCTACGGCTTAATTTGACTCAACACGGGAAAACTTACCCGGCCCGGACGTGTTATCGGTTGAACAGACTGACGGCTCTTTTTAGAGTTTGTGGATGGTGGTGCATGGCCGCAGTTGGTTCGTGGGGTGACCTGTCTGGTTAATTCCGATAAACGGACGAGATTCTTGCTTACTAAATACGTTAATTCTTCCGAATGGAAGAACTTGGCTTCTTAGAAGGACCGTCGGCTTCGAAGCCGTACGAAAAGGAGCGATTGCAGGTCTGTGATGCCCTAAGATGTCCGGGGCCGCACGTGCGCTACAGTAGAGCGGACAACGTGCTTCTTTGTTCCTTGGCCTGTCGGCCTAGGTAACCAGAGCAGTCTGTCTCAGTGCTGGGGACAGGGGATTGTAATTGTTCCCCTCCAACGAGGAATTCCTAGTAGGCGCGAGTCATTAACTCGTGCCGACTAAGTCACTGCCCTTTGTACACACCGCCCGTCGCTATCTCCGATCGAGCGGTGGAGTGAGGTCTTCGGACGAGCTCGCTGGTCCTTCCTCGTCGGAGGACCGGGTGTGGCACGGAAAAAGACCGAACTTGGCCGTTTAGAGGAGGTAAAAGTCGTAACAAGGTTTCCGTAGGTGAACCTGTGGAAGGATCATTGACAATAAGAAGTCAATAAAAATAAGAGGAGGTAAACCTACTCGGGTGCCTTTTCCCGGCCGACTGTCGGCAGGATGGGATGTTCCGGGACTCTGTTCCGGGGCACGGCTCAAAGAGATGCGTTCCTTTGCGCACCGCCCGAGACTTAAAAAATATAACTTGATTGAAAGCCTCTTGAAAGTCCCTCGTGTGGCGGACTTTAAATTGTCGCATCGTACAGCTCCGAGCAGTGGATCACTCGGCTCGCGGATCGATGAAGAACGCAGCCAGCTGCGAGATTTGGTGTGAATTGCAGAACACTCAGATCGCTGATTTTTCGAACGCACATTGCGGCTCCTTACCCATTTTGGGGGAGCCTCGCCTGTCCGAGGGTCGCGTGAAGCTTGCAGAGGACTCTCGTGTCCAGAGAGTCCGAGTCGGCCCTTTCGGATGCCACGTCCGTGGGCTCAGAGGAGGCCGGGTTCGGGTCCCCAGGGATCTGCCGGAAGGCGGAAGGCCAGGGATCCTGCCCAAAACTCGTAATGGAAAAACTGTGCGACCTCGGATCAGACGAGACCACCCGCCGAACTTAAGCATATCAGTAAGCGGAGGAAAAGAAAACAACAGTGATTCCCCCAGTAGCGGCGAGCGAAAAGGGAAGAGCCCAGCGCCGAATCCCAGCGTCGCGAGGCGCTTCCAGGGAAATGTGGCGTAAGGAGTGCTCCTCGACCGAGGTGGGGTTCGAGGTAAGTCCCACTGACAGGGGCTCTTGCCGAGGCGGGTGCCAGACCCGTGTCTTCGAGCCCCGCTTCGGAAGGGAGCGCTCCGGAGAGTCGGGTTGCTCGAGAGTGCAGCCCCAAGAAGGGAGGTAGACTCCTCCCAAGGCTAAATACGACCGCGAGTCCGATAGCAAACAAGTACCGCGAGGGAAAGTTGAAAAGAACTTTGAAGAGAGAGTTCAAGAGACGTGAAACTGCTCGGAGGGAAACGGGTGGGCCCACGAAGTCCCTCGAATCCGGGCGGATTCAATCGGTGCCGACCGACGCATTTCCGCTCGGAGCAGGGGGAGGTCGCGACCGGTTTCGGAGACGAGTCGTTGTCGGAGGGTCGTCCCCGGGCACCGAGCCTGGGTCCCCTCCTTCGAGACGTCTATCCGGGACCGCGGTCCATGGTTGGAGGCGTCCCTTCGATTTCGCGCGCCTGGTGGGCGCGGCTTCCGTTCCGTTCCGCAGCGCCTCGAGTTCTTCCAGGCGTTCGGGGCGGACGAGGCTGCGAACCGCGTTGGCGTTGCGCCTTCGAGGGCGTCCGCGACGAGTAGGTCGGTCTCCCACCCGACCCGTCTTGAAACACGGACCAAGGAGTCTTACTGTCGTGCGAGTCGAAGGGATAAGAGAAACCCTTTTTCGGCGCAGCGAAAGCAAAGATCGCGATCCCCGTCTTTATCACTGACGGGGCGCAGCGACCGCCCTTTCTGCAAGGAAGGAGCGAGAGCACGCCGGTAGGGACCCGATAGGTGGTGAACTATTCTCGGGCAGGACGAAGGCCGAGGAAACTCGGCTGGAGGTCCGAAGAGGTTCTGACGTGCAAATCGATCTCCCGACCCGAGTATAGGGGCGAAAGACCAATCGAACCACCTGGTAGCTGGTTCCCTCCGAAGTTTCCCTCAGGATAGCTGTCGCTCGACTTCAGTGCAGTCTCGTTCCCGTAGAGAGAATGATTAGGGCGACTCGGGGACGCCTCTGTCACTCGACCTCTTCTCAAACTACGAAGGGACGTGGCGTTCATCCTCTCTCGACGTGGAGGTGAAATTAGGATGCAGAGTGACAAGTGGGCCACTTTTGGTAAGCAGAACTGGCGCTGCGGGATGAACCGAACGCCGGGTTAAGGCGCCCGATGCGGGACGCTCACTGATCCCATGAAAGGTGTCGGTTGCTCGAGACAGCAGGACGGTGGCCACGGAAGTCGGCATCCGCCAAGGAGTGTGTAACAACTCACCTGCCTAAGCAACCGGTCCTGAAAATGGATGGCGCTCCAGCGTCGCAGCCCATACCCGGCCTTTAAGCCGAATCAGTTAAAAGTGTAAGGCTTAAAGAGTAGGAGGGTCGCGGCGGAGAGCGCGGAAGGTCGCGACGCGAGTCGGACTGGAGCCTCCGCCGGTGCAGATCTTGGTGGTAGTAGCAAATATTCCAGTGAGAACCTGGAAGACTGAAGCACGGAGAAGGGTTTCGTGTGAACAGCAGTTGAACACGAGTGAGTCGGTCCTGAGGCCAGATGCTAATGCATCCCAGATATTTCTCATTACAAAACGGTAGAGAAAGTGGGCCGAAAGGGAAAAGGGTTAATATTCCCTTACCGGGACACGGAGACTTTCGGCCCGAGGGTCGATGGTGCGGTGACGCAAACGAACTCGGCGACGCCGTCGGAGGACCCGGAGAAGAGTTGCCTTTTCTTTGTAAGACGCGCGCGTCCCTCGAATCTCGTCGCGAGGAGACAGGGACGCCGCCTGTCGAAAAAGCACGGTCGCTGCCGCCGTGTCCGGTGCGCCTCCGCCGGCCCTTGAAAAACCGAGGGAGAGCTTGTGATTTTCGTGCCCGGCCGTACCCATATCCGCAGCAGGTCTCCAAGGTGAACAGCCTCTAGTCTCTAGAACAATGTAGGTAAGGGAAGTCGGCAAGTTCGATCCCTAACCTCGGGAAAAGGATTGGCTCTTGTGTCACGGTCTTTCTGGACTCGCACTTTCCGAAGCTCCTATCGTGGCGGGGACTGGTCCCAGTTTGGGGATCGGACCCCGTACTCGAGGTGGGGTGTAGGGTGCGAGGTGCCCCGGACCTCCGTAAGGACTGGGGCAGTGCCGGAGGACAGGAAAGAGACGGACAAGAACTGGCACGGACTCGGGGAATCCGACTGTCTAATTAAAACAAAGCATTGAGACGGCCGGCGATCGGTGTTGACTCAATGTGATTTCTGCCCAGTGCTCTGAATGTCAAAGTGAAGAAATTCAACGAAGCGCGGGTAAACGGCGGGAGTAACTATGACTCTCTTAAGGTAGCCAAACGCCTCGTCATCTAATTAGTGACGCGCATGAATGGATTAACGAGATTCCCACTGTCCCTATCTACTATCTAGCGAAACCGCAGCCAAGGGAACGGACTTGGCAAATTCACTGGGGAAAGAAGACCCTTTCGAGCTTGACTCTAGTCTGACTTTGTTCTAAGGCATTATTGGCGTAGTCTAGGTGGGAGTCCTTCAATGGGCGAAATTGTGAAATACCACTACTTTGATCGCCTTGGGACTTATTCGGTGATGTTCCTAATCGTCCCTCATCGAGGGACGAACGTATGTGCTTTAAGTCCTCGCCGTTCGAGTGTTGGACGAGGAACTCCGAAGACAGCGTCAGGCAGGCAGTTTGTCTGGGGCGGAACATCTGTCAAATGGCAACGCAGGTGTCCCAAGGCCGGCTCAGTCGGGACGGAAACCCGGCGTGGAGCAAAGGGGCAAAAGCCGGCTCGATCCCGTTCTTCAGCAGGGAAGGGGACCTGGAAACAGGGGCCCATCGATCCTTTCTTTTGTGTGCCCTCCGGGGTACGATGTGAGAGTCTCACGGGAGAGGTGTCGGAAAAGTTACCGGAGGGATAACTGGCTCGTGGCGGCTGAGAGTTCATATCGACGTCGCTTATTGATTCTTCGATGTCGGCTCTTCCTATCATTGCGAAGCAGAATTCGCAAAGCGTTGGATTGTTCACCCACTAACAGGGAACGTGAGCTGGGTTTAGACCGTCGTGAGACAGGTTAGTTTTACCCTGGTGAAGACGGGTCGTGGCTACGGGAAAACTTGCCCAGTACGAGAGGAACCGTAGGTTGGGACATTTGGTACTGCGCTCGGTGGGGCCGCCGGTGGCGCGAAGCTACCATCCCGTGGGAGAACGGCTGAACGCCTCTAAGTCGGAAACCCTCCCGGCGAGTGTCGG